GTCTCTGGGCTGATTGCAGACAGCATGGCCATTAATCACCCAGGAGCCCTTCCCTATAGTTGTCTGCACTGACAGCTGGGCCATCTATTGGGGCTTGACCCTGTCACTACCAAAATGGTACCATGCCAACTGGACAGCTGGTCACTGGCTCCTTTGGGCGCAAGAGTTGTGGCAAGACCTATGGGCCTCTGGTCAGACTAAGACACTTACCACATATCATGTAACTGGACATATGCCTTTGGCACCCCCAGGGAATGATGAAGCAGACATATTGGCCCAGGTGCATTGCCTAGAGGGAAAGTCTGCTTTTGATAGAGCCCAATGGTTCCATCAGCATTTGTTGCACGCAGGACAAAAGTCAATGTGGGCAGTCGCCCATCAGTGGGGCTTGCCGTTGACCTTTGAAGAAGTCAGCAGAGCCCAGAAGGAGTGCCTTGTGTGCTCTAAGAGGGACTGACACTGAGTCTCACAGCAACATGGGACAATAGCAAAGGGGCCAATATCCTTGTCAGGTGGCAGATAGACTATATTGGGCCTCTGCCCATATCAGAAGGATTTCAGTATGTCATGACTTGTGTGGGCAACTGTTGGTTGCTTTTCCTGCATGTCATGCATATTAGCAAACCACCAAAAAGGGCCTAGGGTATCTCTCTGCAGCCTATGGCTGGCCATAGGTGATTGAGAGCAATCAAGGTACCCACTTTACTGGACACGCATTACAAGGATGGGTGCAGCAATTAGAAATAAAATAGAAGTTTCATGTACCATATAACCCTACTGGGGCAGGCATGATAGGTACAATGGGTTGTTGAAACCCGACCTGAAGTCAGACAGGTATACAGGGCTGGTCAGTTCGCTTATGGATGGTGTTACAGCATTTGAATGAGAAGCCCCGAAAAGGAGCCTTGAGCCCTGTGGATATGCTAACACACATTGCTGCCTCTCCTATACAACTGTGGGTGCAAACAAAAGAGGAGTTATGGAAGCCAGGACAGGGCCAGCAGAGCAACATCCTGCTGCCAGCCCCAACTGCATTAAACCCTGGAGACTCTGTTGAGTGGAAATGGCTATGGACATTCTGAAACATGGACCGGCAATGGCTGGCCCTTCTGGCACCTTGGGGAAAAGGCCTGGAAGCTGGCCTCCTCTGTATTCTTGGAGTAACAGCAGGTGGTCCCCAAAGATCATGGTAGTGTACCCAAGACGTATGGGAGGTAAGAGCAGCTTATGGGGAAGTTGTGTTTTATCTTTATGGCCAGTGCATGTACCACCTGTAGCCCTGTACACTGACCCATCTGTAACACCCACAGGGAGAGGGATGAAAGGCTGGTGTACTAGACCAGGACGAGATCCCATTCCTGCCACTGTCCTATCCCAGGACCACTTTCTTGCATGCATCTTACCTGATGAACAAGATTTTTTGCCTATGCTATTGTCTTTAAAACTTGTTATCTTCTCTCCCTTAAATTTATTTACTTCTACAGTCCCTGTGGCCTGGACCCACCCCCTGACTGCAGCTGCCATGTGATGAGTGCTTTGAACTTCCTACTTGTTCAGCGAATGAGCGAGCTATGAACTTAATCTGCATAGGACTTTGAACCCAGCTGAAATCTCTGGCTTGAGGATTATCATGACTTTCTTACTGTTGCTATTATATGTTATTAATCTTGTTAAAATGCTCCAGTTTTCTCACACAGGAACCATTGTGGAAGATGGTGAACGAGAAGATTGTGAGGCGAGAGTTCTGGAGCAGTGGGCTGTGGGTAAAATTCTAATATTTCAAGAATCTCTCCTGGCCTTAGTGTATCTACATATCAATAGGTGTTTCCAAGTGGTGGAGAGAAGTTGCCATCTCCCTATCAATAGGTAATTACAAGGGTGAGCAGGGCATATCCGGATCAGAGAGGTTGGGTGCAGTCCCTTCTTCTGCAGCTGGATCGCGAGAGAAATGGGAGAGCAGAGGTGGACTACTGTAAGCAATAAACAGGTTTCTCCAACATTATTTCTCTCTTTGACTGATTTGGGTTTCAAAGATATTTTACCCCAGGATTTTCCCCCTGGAGATAAGGCGGGAAGCAAAGGTGCCTCTCTCACACTGGCTTAACAAACGTGAAATACAGAACACAAGTCCTCCCTGTGACTCATTACCCCAGCTCAACTCAGTGCTGACCATGAACATGAGGGATGGGGAAAGTAACAGAGACATGTACTAAGTGAAGAAAGACAACTGTGTTCAAGTAGATGCCCCATGTGACCATGTGGAGGACAGAGGAAAACAGGTCTAGCCAGCCCTCTGTTTTTGCCTTGAAATATCCTTGCCATGTGTCACCATTGATATGACAACCCATGACTCTTCTGAGATGCCTGGGGTAAATTGGGTCTTGTTCATCCTCCTCTTTCCGATCACTGTGATTGGCTGCAGAGCTCTCCAGACAGGGCCAGTCCCAACGAGCAGGTCTCACTTCCCCAATCAGGAATCTGGCGTCCAGTCCTAACACAGGGACACAAACACCCTCAGTGTGAGAAAGGCTGGTTGAGAAGCATATTTCGGGAGGTCTCAGATACTCTTGTGATGAATGTCTTGTGTTCCTGTCCTGAGCAATCAAGCAAAATGGACCTTTTCTTCAAGATCGTCATCACAGCCTCCTCAGCCTTGAGTCTGTACAAGCCCTTGCACATACCTTTTTGCCACTGATTCTGGGAACTAGCCTATCTGCATTCTCAAAGAATTGCAACCTCATTCAGCCTGCTCTCATCAGATACCCTGGCTATGGATGGCTTAGGGGAATATATACATAGAGACCAGAACAATGGACGGAATCCCCAAGCCCTCAAATCATATTCATCTTTCATGCTCACAAACACTGGCCATTGTTGGTCTGATGGATACCAGGCTTCAGCCTTGCTTCACAGACACCCGCATGCAAGGTAAGGGTAGAGGCATCTCTCTCCTGACTGCCAGGTGATGGCTTAGCTGAGACAGCCACCTTAGAGGAGACAGACCCTGGGGATGCCAGCAGTGAGTGCAGGGAAAGAAATGAAGAAGTCAGCAGAGCCCAGAAGGAGTGCCTTGTGTGCTCTAAGAGGGACTGACACTGAGTCTCACAGCAACATGGGACAATAGCAAAGGGGCCAATATCCTTGTCAGGTGGCAGATAGACTATATTGGGCCTCTGCCCATATCAGAAGGATTTCAGTATGACATGACTTGTGTGGGCAACTGTTGGTTGCTTTTCCTGCATGTCATGCATATTAGCAAACCACCAAAAAGGGCCTAGGGTATCTCTCTGCAGCCTATGGCTGGCCATAGGTGATTGAGAGCAATCAAGGTACCCACTTTACTGGACACGCATTACAAGGATGGGTGCAGCAATTAGAAATAAAATAGAAGTTTCATGTACCATATAACCCTACTGGGGCAGGCATGATAGGTACAATGGGTTGTTGAAACCCGACCTGAAGTCAGACAGGTATACAGGGCTGGTCAGTTCGCTTATGGATGGTGTTACAGCATTTGAATGAGAAGCCCCGAAAAGGAGCCTTGAGCCCTGTGGATATGCTAACACACATTGCTGCCTCTCCTATACAACTGTGGGTGCAAACAAAAGAGGAGTTATGGAAGCCAGGACAGGGCCAGCAGAGCAACATCCTGCTGCCAGCCCCAACTGCATTAAACCCTGGAGACTCTGTTGAGTGGAAATGGCTATGGACATTCTGAAACATGGACCGGCAATGGCTGGCCCTTCTGGCACCTTGGGGAAAAGGCCTGGAAGCTGGCCTCCTCTGTATTCTTGGAGTAACAGCAGGTGGTCCCCAAAGATCATGGTAGTGTACCCAAGACGTATGGGAGGTAAGAGCAGCTTATGGGGAAGTTGTGTTTTATCTTTATGGCCAGTGCATGTACCACCTGTAGCCCTGTACACTGACCCATCTGTAACACCCACAGGGAGAGGGATGAAAGGCTGGTGTACTAGACCAGGACGAGATCCCATTCCTGCCACTGTCCTATCCCAGGACCACTTTCTTGCATGCATCTTACCTGATGAACAAGATTTTTTGCCTATGCTATTGTCTTTAAAACTTGTTATCTTCTCTCCCTTAAATTTATTTACTTCTACAGTCCCTGTGGCCTGGACCCACCCCCTGACTGCAGCTGCCATGTGATGAGTGCTTTGAACTTCCTACTTGTTCAGCGAATGAGCGAGCTATGAACTTAATCTGCATAGGACTTTGAACCCAGCTGAAATCTCTGGCTTGAGGATTATCATGACTTTCTTACTGTTGCTATTATATGTTATTAATCTTGTTAAAATGCTCCAGTTTTCTCACACAGGAACCATTGTGGAAGATGGGGAATGAGAAGATTGTGAGGAGAGAGTTCTGGAGTGGTGGGCTGTGGGTAAAATTCTAATATTTCAAGAATCTCTCCTGGCCTTAGTGTATCTACATATCAATAGGTGTTTCCAAGTGGTGGAGAGAAGTTGCCATCTCCCTATCAATAGGTAATTACAAGGGTGAGCAGGGCATATCCGGATCAGAGAGGTTGGGTGCAGTCCCTTCTTCTGCAGCTGGATCGCGAGAGAAATGGGAGAGCAGAAGTGGACAACTGTAAGCCATAAACAGGTTTCCCGCACATTATTTCTCTCTCTGACTGATTTGGGTTTCAAAGGTATTTTAACCTGGGATTTTCCCCCTGGAGTTACAGGCAGGAAGCAGAGGTGCCTCTCTCACACTGGCTTAACAAATGTGAAAGACAGAATCTAAGTCCTCCCCGTGACTCATTACCCTAGCTCAACTCAGTGCTGACCATGAACATGAGGGATGGGGAAAGTGACGGAGACATGTACTAAGTGAAGAAAGAGAACTTTGTTCACATGGATGCCCCATGTGACCATGTGGAGGGCGGAGGAAAACAGGTCTAGCCAGCCCTCTGTTTTGCCTTGAATTGTCCTTGCCATGTGTCACCATTGACACGAGAACCCATGATTCTTCCAAGATACCTGGGGTAAATTGGGTCTTATTCATTCTCCTCTTACTGATCGCTGTGATTGGCTGCAGAGATCTCCAGACAGGGCCAGTCCCAACGAGCAGGTCTCGTTTCCCCAATCACGACTCTGGTGTCCAGCCCTAACATAGGGACAAAATACCCTTAGTGTGAGAAAGGCTGGTTGAGAAGCATATTTCAGGTCTCAGATACTCTTGTGATGAATATCTTGTGTTCCTGTCCTGAGCAATCGAGCAAAATTGAGCTTTTCTTCAAGATCGTAATCACAGCCTCCTCAGCCTTGAGTCTGTACAAGCCCTTGTACATACCTTTTTGCCACTGACTCTAGGAACTAGTCTATCTTCATCCTCAAAGAATTACAACCTCATTCAGCATGCTCTCATCAGATACCCTGGCTATGGATGCCTTAGGGGAATATATACAGAGACCAGAACAATGGACGGAATCCCCAAGCCCTCAAATCATATTCATCTTTCATGCTCACAAACACTGGCCATTGTTGGTCTGATGGATACCAGGCTTCAGCCTTGCTTCACAGACACTCGTATGCAAGGTAAGGGTGGAGGCATCTCTCTCCTGACTGCCAGGTGATGGCTTAGCTTAGACAACCACCTTAGAGGAGACAGACCCTGGGGATGCCAGCAGTGAGTGCAGGGAAAGAAGAAATCCAAATACGTGGATAAGGCTGCCATCACGTTTGGAAAAGCACATAAGTGCAAGGGAATATTTGGTATGTTAAAAGGAGAGCACTACGCGGGAGGACCCAGTAAGTGAAAATTAGGAAGACAGACAGTCCTCACTGTGCACGCTGTTCACAGGTGAGTGTGAATTTGTCCTCCATGCCTGAGGGGTCATGTTCTTCACTGGAGTGTGAAGCATGAGGCTTGGCAGAACAATGGAGTGAGCACAGCTCCAGACCTCCTAATGCTTTGCTTAAAACTATCCTAGATCCTGATGCCAGCTCCAGTGTTAATAGGTCTGGCACACACGGATGACAAGTAACACAGCAGAAGGTGGGGGACACCTAAATTATGGGGTCTTACTGGGAATCTGGTGGGAGTATTATCATCTTGGTAATGGGGATGCACCAGCTACATTCTGAGCAGAGCACATATTCAGTTCCACAACTGGGCAGATGGCAATGCTCCCGGAAGTCCACTGGGACTCATACAGCTCAGAATGATGTGAGGAAGTCAATCTGTGTCCATGCCGTGACTCCCAGAGGATGCCATGCTCTTCCACCTGCGGCTGTGCCCTGCAGAGACTGGTGAGGAGCAGGGAACTGAAGACTGAACGAGAAGGACAGACAGCACAGCCCCCAAGCTGGTTTTGATGGGAGGCAGAGCAATGTTGTTACAGCAATAGAGCACACCTGTTATTGAGAGACAATCTATCCTCCTACATAAGGGGCAGAGTGTGCAGCAAAAGGGACCGTAAAGGGGGAAAACAGAGAGAACAAAAGGAAGGTACTCAGTACACTGGCCACACAACTACTTTATGAGCAATGAAGCTGCACTTGCACTTCTGGAGGCTGGAAGTCACGGCTCACTTCACATGTGAAGGAGCATAATGTAGGTTCACACTTTTGCATATTTTTGCCTCATATTCTGTTCACTGACTGAAAGAACACACGCTTTAAGAAAAATCCCAGAGACGCTAGAGATCTTGTTTTTTGAAGGCCTGTTTCTTGTCATACTCCAACACAGTATGAATTTTTTTCCAGACCCTCTTTTTACCATGGTATATTGGCAACTGAGAACCACCAGAGGCGGGAAGCAGAAGCGTCTCTCAAGCTGTCTTAACGAACATGGAGGAGGTAAGAACAGAGGTCCTCCTGGTGACTCATCACCTCAGCACAACTCAGTGCTGACCACAAATATGAGGTAGGGGTGATCGTGTGTAGAGTAGATGACATGAGATATAAACAGATGGCATGTCTAGCCCATCCCTTTATCTTTTCTCTCCTCTATTTTGTCCATTTGTACTGCTGAGGGAGGAGTGCTCACTCCATGCACGGCTGATGCTCAGCTTTCCTCTGAAGAGCCACACACACAGGACACTTCTACATTGGTTACTGACATCCTCCTAGATCCACAGTCCTTTTAATAGCTAGATAACTATTAGTGGGACATTGAAGAATTACTGGCACCCAAACCCCACCCAGGAATGCTACAGTTGGAGTGGCAAGGTCTTGGATCAGTCACTACTGTTAGTTCAGAACTCATCAGTGTTTATTTTACGACAGCATGATTTGGAGCTATTCCCTAGACCTCTCTGTTGCACACAATTTTTTCTTCTCTCCAACTCTGCCACCCTCAGTTTCTTTCCCATTGGCCCTTAAGATTTTTTACTTCTGACACTCTCCGGTAATCACTTTCCTTCTCAACTGGACTTGTCTTAACGTGAAGATTATCTTGTATTCCTGGTTTCCCCCTACGTCTTCCTAATTCACTACAATGCTGTCCTATATTCTCTTGCCTCATTTTCCAACTCAGTTCATTATTCCTGGTTCTTCAGTGAACATGTCTAAGTGGTAATGGGAGTAAAGAGGAGAGGTCTGAATGGCTAAGTACCTCTTCGTCTATGCATTTGGGAAGCCTGGCTGCTGCTCCTTTTGGCGAGTGTCTGTAAAGGTGTCATCTGCTGTCCTCCACCTGTCAGCTCCAGGCCGGGAGGGGTAGATATTGAGTCCCTGGAGGTCCCATGCAGATTATCACATACCTGTGCATCATGGGGCTGAGGAGAAACCAGACGGCAGGCCACTATGGTGCTCCCATCTGTGCGCCAGATTCTCATGTAGTTTCATAATCAGGGCTCTTTGTCTTCAGCTTCACCAAGTCTTACTCAGGTGGAGAAGCCAACGGTTGTCCTGGCTCAGGTTCCTTAAAACACAAAGGAGGAGGCCCCTCAGGCAGGAGATCCTTTAGGACAAGGCTCCCGGGAGAAAGAGGCAGCGGAGCTGGGGAGGCGGGGAAGGGAAGGCGAAGCGCGTGACTGCCCGCGTGGAAGCGAGGCAGGACCAGACGGAGGGAGGCAGCACCAGCGGTTGGAGTGAACAAAGGAGCGAGTGGGGGAGTAGGACGAGGTGAGCTACCGTCTAAGAGAGACGGCAGTGCAGACATGTGCTCACCTCTGTACCCTAAGCTGGAGGCCAGGGAATCTGCATGTCAGTCTCCACTTGGTGTATAGTTTTTTCTTGAGATGCTCCTGTTGGATGTTCTTCAGGAAGCCAAACCCTTGACCCTCAGGCTTGCTGGCAGCTGAGGCCTCAAGTGCATCACCCTCCAGCTTAGGAGGTTCCTTATATTCCATGCAAGCATCAAAACCCAATTCTGGGAATAAAACCATAGCCAACAGGATGCAGTGTTATTGTGATCGTACTGTGCCCAAGTGCTCTACCCCAACAGGACATCAACTGAGGTAAATGTATTTTATATTTGGAAGGGACATGTATCCCTTGGGACCAAGACTGGACTGTGGTAAGCAGAAGCTCCAATGTGGTCTCCAAATTGGTCTCATCCCAACCCCTGGAAGTTGCTAATGTGATGAGACATCACTCCTGTGATTATGTGCTTATGTGACACAGCTGACTTTCAGATGGAGAGACTATGGGGGTGGCCTGGATCTAATCACATGACTCCTTAAATACCAGAGCTTTCTCTGTCTGGCAGCAGAAGACCAAATCAGAGAGAGTCAAGCATGAGAAGGACTCCACGCACCATGACTGGCTTGATGGTGGAGAAGGCCACCTGAGAAAGAATGTAGGGACATCTGGACGCAGAGAGTGGCCTCTGGCTGTCAACCAGCACACAAAAAAGTGATTCAGTCCCCCACACACAAACAAATGAATTCTGCCAATAACTGTAGTAAGCTTGGAAGAGGAGTCTAAATATTAGATGAAAGTTGAGCCTCATGACTTGCTGAGAACCCAGCCACATACCAGACATCCGATCTACAGAACTGTAAGATAACAAATGTGTGCTGTCTGATACCACTGTTCTTGCAATCTGTTAATATAGAGCAATAGAAAACAAATTCAGATGGTTATCTCTATTCTCCTGATTTTTCAATTTTCAGAAATGTGTATTTTAATCCTTGTAAGAGCAAAAAAAAAAAAAAAAATACAAGAACCACGGTAAAAAATCCTGTGCTCAACGTCATGAGTGTTCCCAAGCCTCATAATGTGAATGGTCCTAGGAAAGGCCTTTCAGGTGCTGGAGGAATGTTTCCTTAATGTTACCAACCAAATTTCAAAAAGAATAATGATAGTATAATATTTAATTCCATGTAATGTTATCTGAGAATCTAATTCTCTTTCCTATGACAGGGTTTTTTAAGCTGCTTTTCTCTCCTGAGCTCATCAGACAAGGTTTTTTTTTTTTACCAAGTACTAGTTACCAACACAGGTGGACTAATACAAAGAAAGCAATAGAACAGCCACTGTATCAAGTTCCCTCAAGGTACCTACAATGCAGTCTCTCCTTTACTGGTCATTAAAGTAAGAAAATGATCCATCATATAAAGTCCTAATCTAATGAAAATTTAAACTTAATGTTGTCGATGATTTTCTCAACTTGTCTCCTGCTCAGGTCCAGTCATGTTGACCAGGGATTGGGGACTGACAACGAAGTGGCTCAAAGGAATTTGGGGAGGTAAAGAAAAGGTTCCAAAACTGGACATTGGTGATGAACAACTCTCTACACATCTAAAATCATTGATGTGTACATTTACAATTCATGAATTTTATTACATTATATTAGTTAAGGTTCTCCAGAGAAAGAGAACCAAATGAGATTTATTATGAGGAATTGGCTCATACAATTATGAAAGCTAAGAATCCCTGCTCTCCCATCTGGAAGCTGGAGAGCCAGGAATGCCACTGGGTTGATTGCAGACTGCGTTCAAAGGCCTAAGAATGAGGGGAACCTCTGGTATAAATCCCAGTGAAAAGGCAGAAGAAGACTGATGTCCCAGCTCAAGTGGTCGGGCAGGAAGGAAAAAGGGATGAACTTGTCCACCTTTTGTTCCATTCAGGCCTTCAAAGAATTGGATGATGCCCACCCACATGGTGGGAGGAAGTCTACTTTAACTGAGTCCACTGATGCAAATGTTAATTTCAGCCAAAGTACTCTCACAAACACATCCAGAAATAAGGCTTAATCTGAGTTCCCCCAGACTCAGTGAAGTTGACAGAGAAAATTAGTCATCACATGTAAATAAGTTTTTTTAAAAAGAAAACTAGGTTATTTCCCAACATGCAAAGAACTTGGAAGTCATCAATCTTGTCCCACAACAAGAAAAAATGCTAGACAAACAGAAAATCAACAATTCATCTTAGACAGCCCAGAGAACTGAGGTCAGAGGAAAACTGGAACTCCAAAAACTAGAGAGACAAGCTAATGCTGGGAATCACAGCTTACTTGCAACTGAACCCACTAAAATTGCTGAAAAGCAGCAGCTGGGGACACTTAAAAGCTAAGTGAGAAATTACTAGAAGCTGCTGGAATAGCTTCAGAGCTTAAAACTCCTGGAGGCCCAGACTTGTTGGGGGGACCCCACATTGTTGTGAGTTTTACTGCCAGGAGCCTGAGCAGGTTCTCATTGTGAAGACGCAGGAAAATCTGACTGACACTACCAAATTCAAGACTTGCTATATATGTATAGTAATTAAAACTGTGTGTACCTGTTGAAAATGCAAATAGATTAATGGAACAAAATCAGAAATAGAGCTACATAAATGCAGCCAACAGATCTTTGTCAAAGGAGCAAATGCAATTTAATGGAGAAAGTACAGTGATCATCTTTACAACATAAGATGTTAGAGCACCTGGACATCTACCTGTGGGGGAAAAAAGTGAACCTACACAGGGACTTCATACTTTACACAAAATGGACCATAGACCTAAAAAGAGGTATAAAATGATAAAACCTCTGGAAGATAACATAGGAAAAAATCTGGATAACTTTGGGTGTTGTGTGGGCTTTTTAGATACAATACCAATGAACAATCTGTGAAAGGAAAGAATTGGTAAGTTGCACTTCATTAAAATTAAAAACTGTTCTGTGAAGACACTGTTAAGCTAACTAAAGACAAGCGACAGACTGGGAGAAAATCTTTGCAAAGTACATATCTGGTGAAGGACTGGTATCCGAAATACACAGTGAACACTTAAAACACAACTATAAGAAGGCAAATACCCCAATTACACAATAGAGAAAAGATCTAAATAGACACCTCAGCAAAAAAGACACAGATGGTAAATAAGCCTCTGAAAGATGCTCAAACTCATTTGTTATTAAGGCATTTTGAATTAAAACAACAATACACCACCATACACCTACTGAAACACGGAAAACCCAAAACACTAACAGTGAACGCTACTGAGGATGTGGGTCCATGGAACTCTCTGGCATCAGTGATGGCAACACAAACTGGTACAGTCACTTTGGAAGACAGAGGGGCAATTTCTTACAAAGCTAAGCATATTTTCATAGTGCACCCAGGAATCACTGCTCCAGGTATTTACCCAAATAAGATGAACATGTATGTTCACACAAAACCTGTAGGTGAGTGGCTGAAGCAAATTTATTTATGATGGTCAAAAAGTCTAAGTAACAGAGATGTCCTTCCCTACATGACTGAAGAACCAAACTGTGGCACATTTATACAATGGAATAGTGTTCAGTGATAAAATGAAATGAGCTACCAAGCCATAAAAGACACAGAGGAACTTTAAATGTAATAATGTCAAGTCAGTTAAATGTATAAAGCAGTTAGTCTGAAAAGTCTGAAAAGTCTACATACTGTATAGCACCTTCTGGAAAAGACAAATCTACAGAGGCAGTAAAAAGATCAGTGGTTGCCACGGGTTTTCTAGGAGGAAAGGAGGGATGAACTGGAGAAGCACCAGAACTGCCAGGGCAGTAAACCATTCTGCATGACATTGTAGTGGTGGATTTATGACACAAAGCATTTGTCAGAGCCTATGGAACTGTATGACAGAGAGAATAAACTCTAATGTAAGCCAGGGTCATTAGTTAAGAATACTGTATTTTTCAGCAGTGGATCAATTGTAGCAAATGAGCACCCAATGCAAAACACTAATACCTAACGGGATATTGTGTGAGGGAGAACCGGGATCTGTGAGAACTCTGTACTCTCTGCTCAATGTGTCTGTAAACATAAAATCGCTCTAAAAAATAATGTCTACTAATTCAAAGAAAAATATGGAAGCGACACCCTCAGATCAAGTGTTGGGAGCACCCACCTGGAGCCTGCCCAGTTGGTCATTTTGATGCCTGCGCCATTAGCCTCTGGCCCTGGCATTTCCTCTGGAATCCACATGTCCCATCAAGAAGGTGGAGGTGGCCCCAGCGCTCCAGATGATGCAGAGAGGCCAGTGGCAGCTGGGAAGGATCGGGGAAGCCATCCGCAGGGCAGAACTCTGAATACTCAGTTCACACCTGTCCCACACAAAGCAAAGGGGAGCAACATCAGCAGCTGGTGAGGACAAGAGGCGGAGGCTGCCTGAAAGACAAAGGCAGCTCATGAGACTTGGGTGCATGTTGAGAATCAGAAGCCCCAAAATGAGTCTAAGTGAAGACTAGACGAGATACAGTGGGCTTGAAACACCACCTCTGTCATCAACAGGCGTAGGCGCTGATTATATGACAGTGATAGAAGCTTGTAACATCTTACACTGCTGCAGTGGGGTGAGGCCGCGCTCCCCAAGCCCTCCACCCTCTGCTGACACACACACTCAAACCCACTGATGCTAGAGGCCCGAGTCAGTGGGACTCGGCCCAACGCTGGACTCAGGGCCTTCCCTGCTGGCTCCGGCCTGGCCTGGTCCGGCAGCTGCCCACTTCTGGTGTCCGGCCCCTGGGTGCCCTGGGGAAGGACACGAACCGGCCGTGTCCCCATCGCGCCGCCCACTCGCTGTGCCCCCAGAGGAGGGCTCCCAGGGACCAGGCCCTGGGGTTTGCTTGCCATGCAGCACCTCCCCACCACAAGGGCCTTGTACCTGGTAGGTGCTCAGCAGAGGCTCAGTGACGGCAGGCACTGGCCACAGGGAGCTGGGAGACTGAAAATTTCACTGTGGACAGTGAGGTTTTAGTTCTGGAGGGGGAGTCCCGGATGGGAGGGCGGGAAGGGGGGAGATGAAGGCGAGGACGGAGGAGAGAGGCGGCGGCCCAGGGGCGCCCCCCCTGCCCGCGCCGCCCACCGCACCCCGTGAGCGCCCCGGCGCGGAGGACGGGCGCGGCGGCAGCGGGGGCGGGGACCCGAGCACTAACCGAGGCAGGGGCCGTCTGTCCCTGCTGGAGGCCCGCAGGGCTGCGTGGGCTGCCCCCCGACGGGAACGCTCCCCGGGAGCAGCAGGGCGGCTGGGCGTCGGGGTGCTGAGGCGGCCCCCGGGCCCTCCTGCCGGGAGCGAGCCGGCAGCGGCGCGGAGCCCCCGACACAGCCTGGAGGGCAGGCGGGGACCGCCCCCCGGGGCGCCTGTGCGCACACGGGCCCCACCTCTCCCGGGGCGCTGGGATCCGCTGTGCTGGGACCCGCCCCGGGGGAGTCCCCGGTGAGGCGCCGTCCCGCGGGGGCCACAGGGCGGCGCTGCGGGCCTTCCCCTCCGGAGGCCGGCCGGGGACTAGGTCTCCGCGGAGCCCCGTCCCTAGACATGCGGGGTCAGAGGCAGCCGGGGGAGCCGACCCTCCTGTGGGGGGTCACCCGGTGCAGAGGCGCCCTGCAGCCGCCGGGCCTCCAGGCCTGGCTGCGGACACTCAGCCACTCGGCTGGGGCCGCCGCCCTCCGTCCCCGCACCAGGCCTCCCAACGCGTCCCCCGACGGGAGAGAAACCTGCGCTCCCGCGCCCTTCCGACCGGGTTCGCCCATTGCCGCGCCAGCCGGCGGGGACGTGAGGGCGCGGAAGCAGCGGGCAACCCGGGGAAGGCGCGGAGCGGCGGCCGCCGGGGGCAGCGAGGCCTGGAGGCCGTGGTAACGAGGGAAGGGACCAAACTCAACCAAACGCAAAGAAAAGGAAAGGAACGGTTTGGGGTTTTGTCGGTTTTGTGACAGGAATTCTACCTCAAGGTGGGAAACGGAGGATCCCGTTGGAGCAGGGGGGCAGCGGAAGCCCACACGGCGCTTCCCGGCCGCGGACCCCACGTGGATTTTCTCTCAGTTGCGACCCACAGTCGCGAAGACGGCTGAGAGGACGTGAGTCAGGGCGCCCCCTGGCGTCGCGGAGGAGCAGGACCGGGACCCGCAGGGGGGCAGCGCCGGCAGGAGGCCAGGCCGTCGCGGGGCCGCGGGGCCGCGGGGCCGCCGGCCCCTCACTCGGGCGCTTCCCGGGCCACGGCGAGCCTTCCCTTTGCTTAGGCCCAGGCCGCCCTTTCCTGCGCCGCCCCGCAAGCGCCGGCGCCTCGTAAGGTAGGAACCCGACGGGTGGCGCCCTCGCGGCCCGGCGGCCAGATTCCCCGTCCTTCCTGCCCCGCTGTCCCGAGCGCCGAGGCGACTGCCGCCGCCGCCTCAGGACTCGGGACCCAGACACCGGCGCCTCAGAGGCCGCTGTGCGCGGGGACAAAGAGGGCCCCGCGCTGTGCCCCCTTTGTCCCCGCGGGCCTCGGCCTCGGGGTACAGGCGGCAGTGCGCCCAGTAAATCCCCCTGTCCCCCATCCCGCGCAGGGTCCTCACTGCGCAGGCGCAGGTGACTGCATTGACCGGCCCGCCCCCGCCTGGGTACCTTGTGGCGCCAGGAACTGCCAGGGCCCAGGGTTGGACACCTAAATTGGAAGTGCGGGCTTCTATGTTTAAATGGATTGTTTTATTCACAATTTTAATTTGTTCCGTTCCAATTCATTACGATTTTATCCGAATAAAATTTCCATCTCCTAAGTCTCCATTGGACGCTAAGGTGCTTTTACATTAACCTCAGGATTTCACTCCAGGAAACGTCATCCTTTGCTCCAAATTCAACAAACAAAAGGAACCCTGCTCTCTGCCTTCTCATCTGTCAAGGACTAAACAGGTGTAGTGCTCACCCTCTCCTTTGAGCTTTCAAACCAGTTTAATATGAAACAATTTGGTATTAAAACAAATTTGGAAACAGAAAAGTTGCCAAATTTTCCTGGAGAACTCCTGTGGCCATCCTCCATCTCTTGGGGATCAGTGCACTTTGCCCTGTAAGCAGAACCACTGGCTCCTCCAGCCCAACCAGGCAGGGCTACAGTTCCAGGAGAAGGTCAGTCAGAGGCTGGGACGTCCCTACCTGTTCAGCTACTGACTGCCTGTGGAATGGGCGAGCTATGGACTTAATCTGCATAGGACTTTGAACTTAGCTGAATCCTCTGGCTTCAGAATTATCATGATTTTATGTTATTAGTCTCATTACAATGCTCCAGTTTTCTTGCACAGGGGCCATTGTGGAAGATGGGGAGTGAGTAGATTGTGCAGTCAGGTTTCTGGAGAGGTGGACTGTAGGTCAAATTGCAGTATTTCCAGAATCTCTCATCTGGCCTTAGTGCATCTCCATATCAATAGGTGTTTCCAAGGGGTGGAGAGAAGTAGACCCTCTCTGTATCAATAGGTAATTACAACAGGTGAGTGAGGGCTTATCAGGACAGGAGAAGTTTGCGTAGGGTCCTTTCTTATCCAACTGGATCATGAGAGACATGGGAGAGCAGAAATGGATGGCTGCTTGTTGACAATAAATGGGTTTTCTCCTACTTTATTTCTTTCTTTGACTGATTTCTGTTTAAATATATTTTGCCCTGGGATTTTTTTCCCCTTGAGTTATAGCCAGTTGTGTGCTTTCTTTGCTTTTTACATTTAAAACTTTTATTCTTAAGGAATTCACGTGGTTTACTTTTAATGAGTGCTTTGAAATTATATCTCTTAAAACATATTCTAAAATTAATACTTTTCTCTAATTTCCCTGTATCAAGCCACATCTATAACTGGTTGAAGCATAGGATCCTTATCATTTTGGTTAGCTAACAGGTAGAGATAGTAAATCACACTTCCTATTTCATGATTTCCAGGGAACTACCTTTGAAAGGACAATTCAGTAATAAAGGCTTTCAAAGCTCACGTATTTCAGGAATAAATTCATATTATGCTGCTCTAAGAGGGATGTATGATTCTGTGACTCATGCCCTAAGAGGGTTGTATGATTCTGGGATCCTATTAAAGCAATAAGAATTAATATCTCTAAATATGAGCACCTATAAGTTTTGTACAGATGCTGTACAAAGTCTGTTCATGCATTAAATAGCCATCCTGCTCTTCTCTTTCCCAGACACAGCACTTGAATGTACAGATGAATGAGTGTCCTCTAGTTGTCCACATGAGGAATGATCAAAAGATGTGACATGAGTTTCTTTTGAGGTTAAGTCAAAATTTTATCATCTTGAAGTTTATTATTCATTTGAGACTTGTATTCATTACTGTTTCTATATTTACCTTTTCTTATACTTTAATACTAGGTTCATTATCAAAAGAAGCATACTTCCCAGAATACTCCCAGAATACTTCACAAAATATGCATTTTTGCGTATTCTTAAATTTCATGATGTAGAAATGTTGGATAGGTGCATTTCTTAATGAATAAAAATTGTGAAGAATGTAAATTTGTTTTATAATCATAATGATAATATCAATAGCTGGCCTTTATTGTGCTTTCACTGTGTGCCAGCCACTGTTCTATGTGCTTTAATGTGTATATCTCTTTGCATTTCACGACAATCCTGAGGTAGGTATATCTGAGGTACTTATATCTGTTATCATGGTTCTAATATCCAAGAACCTTTGTTATGGACTAAAATGTCTGTGTCTTCTCATTATTCATATGTTGAAATGCTACATCCCCCACCTCTGTCCTGCCTTGTGATGGGATTAAGAGGTGGGACTTTTGGGAGGTAATGAGGATTAAATGAAGTCATGAGGGCAGGGTTCTCATGAATGGGATTAGCACTCTTAAAAGTGTCAGAGAGTTTGCTTTCCCTCTGTTATTGATCATGGAAGGAAACAAGAACTCAGCCATCTGCAACCCAGTAAAGGACTTTTACCAAAATCCAAGCATGTAGGCACCTTAATCTTGGACTTCCACCTTCCAAAACTGTGAGAAATCAATTTGTGTTGTGTGTAAACCCCTTGATTTATGGAACTTATACAGTCCAAACTAACACAAACTCTGAAAACTGAAAGATGTTTTTACTCCTTTTGTGACAAAACTTAGTGGTGAAATTCTGAGATGAACTGAGTTGAGGTTAATAATAGTCCCTAACCAAATAAACTCAGTGTGAATATATTTTTTAGCAGAAAAAAATATTGTCTTTATTGTATCACTGTGGTTGTTATGTAATATATGGAATGGAGAGTGAATTACCTCACTGTAATATAGTTTAAATTAAGAAATATACATGGCCCCAGGGTTTGAGAAGAGGGATTGTGTAATTATTTCTAATCCCCTAATTTACTAATAATTTCCTAATAAGGAAACAGTTCCAAAATG